GTTGTCAGGGACCACTCTCAATCTCTATAATTTCCTCTTACAAACATGCTCTTAGTTTTGCTCTTTTTTTTCACTTGACAGAGGATTTTGGAGTTTGTGAATGTGATGTGATGTGAATTTTTTTTTTTAGGAATGTTCAGCATACTATGCTGAGATTTTAAAGCATTTTCATTGGTTGAAATTTTCATATAGTGAAATTTTCATCTATCAGTTTTGTTCTCATTCAGTCCATTTCAGATTTTATAAAAACTCAGTTATTAAACTGGAATTTGGAAGAGAATTGGCATTAGTAGAGTTATCTCCTACATCCTCTGTCTTTGCAAGTTTGATCAAGTTGTAAGAAGTTTTTATTTGAATTGTGATGTGATTTATTAACTATCAGCACCAAAATCAATTGAGTGTTGCACAGAAAAGTATTACATAACAAAATGATATGCACTAAACCGTTTCTTAGAAAGCACCTTTTCAAAGAATTACTATGGGAAAACATATCCCTGAACTACATGTGCTCTGTTCAGTCCTCAAGGCTTGTGTAAGATTGCAAATGATCTGACCTGCACTAGACAACAACTGCAGGAGGTCTTAAAGTCTGCTTATCATTAAGAGTCATGAAGTCACTGGTTAGATAGGTATAAATATGAGCAGCACTTGGGTCTCATTATTAGTAGTATAAAAATTGACACACTTTCACACTTTTTTCAATTTAAGTAAAATGAAAGTCAACCAAATCTATGTCAGATCTGAGAAGGGGAAGGAAGTTTTGGCACAAACATTAGCAGGAATATGATCCACCTGAAATATGACCCTGAGCACTGGCAGAACTTGTTGGACCTTGAAAGAGGGAAAACCTGGTATAGTACAGCAACATCTGAAGTCAACTCTCGACTTTTCTGGCTGTGGGCAATATATTACGTGCCTTTTCACATTCAAAATATATCGCGATTTTCATCTGTACCTAGTATTATATCACTGCGAGTAAACCATTGACACATGCACATATTATCTGGCATAATAAAGAAGTCCTGACAGCGACAGTTTTATCTCTCATATCATGTGAAACAGACTTACCACCAACTTTCTCATCTTCAAGCACATCAGTGTAATATCAAATGCAGCAAAGACTGATAATATACTGTGTAGTGCACCCAACTGCTCGTCATTTCTAACCTGCCTCATGAGTGGCAGGTTATCTGTGTTTGAGCCATTTGTATTTTATAGTGCCTTGCTGTGTTACTCACACAGCCTTCTGCTGCAGCAGGCAGTGCAGAGCAGCCCTCCGGATTGCCTCTCCAGGCACCTTCCCTGCTGCACTCCACATTCACCACTGCTTTCACAGCAGTGTTCCTCACCCAGTGGCCCATCATTAACTTCACTAAGAAGTGCAGGATGAAATATAGAAGGAAAGGCTGCTTTTATGAGCTGTGAACCCTTGTGAGAGAGTCTAAAAACTACAACAAAGGAAACATTTGGTAACAACCCCCTATTCCATGATTTCTTATTCAACAAGGGGATCTTCCAACACACATTTTTCAGTAAGTGTTTTGGGTAAATAGATTTCAGTCTGTGGCTCACTCATGCATGTTTCAATCAAAGTATTTCTGTAACCATTTCATCTGACAGTTATGATGCATGGTGCTCTGAACTGTATCAGCTGTGTTATGTTTCTGTCTAAAAGGAATATAATTATTGAATTATGTTTTTCCAACTCCATAAAATGTATTTTGTTGAAAAGCAAGTACAATAAAGTAAAAAACCTACCTAAACATCTTTGGCGATGATCTTTATTTTTTTTACCCTTTTCTTTCATAAAGCCCCAAATGCATGAAACATCTCTACTCAAGTACTTCAGACTTCAGACCAAAAAGAGGATGAGAATGTATGAGAGAGGACTCACAGTCTATATGAGTCCCCTTAATGTGCTTCTGAAAGGCACCCTGATATTACAATACAAGCATGGCATAAATGATCCATTGTATGAACAGAGTAGTGCTAGAGCAGCATGCTGATGCTTTGACATTCTTTTTTTATTGCTACTTAACAGGATAATTTTCTTTATTTTCACCCAAGCCTCACTGCAAGTGAGTGGAAAAAGCAGTTATTTTTGCACCAAGCTTTATTCATTACACTACCCATTGCAGACACTGACATAGCAAATACATAGCTACATACATGCATGTCGTGCACGTCGTGTACCACTATCTCCACTAGATCGGTGTAACTATGGGAGGTTTGCCCAGCTGTCACTATTAACTGTATGTCTTTCCTGTTCTTTTTCTTAGAGTACAGACAAACATTCAGCTCTGGAAAAACAGTTCATGGTTGTTCATTTTGCTCCTTCAAGAACAGAAAAGCGAGCTCTTGCAGAGAGAGCTCTGTTAGAGAGCCAGTAATATCGGAGTAAATTTCTAGGACAGTAAGACTTTCTGAGCCCTGGACACTGATGTGCACCTGATGAGCCCTGGACACCTCTCTTTCAACATGGCATATATATGAAAAGCAATTACACACAGAATGAAGCCAAATTTCACATTTCTATCTTAGCCATGCCAATGCAACCACTGCCAGTGCTACAGTCTGCAGTGCTACAAACTAGGCTACTTTAGAAATAAACACTGAAGTCGAGAAAGTTCAAACTAAAGTTTCAAAGTACAAGATCAGTTAACTGCAACAAGCATATTATAATATTAACAGTTACCTTTGTATTTGAGTACCTCCTATCTAGTAATTTCAAAATACGTTTATCACAAATTTTACAAAATGAGGAAAGTTCATTATGGATAGCTGAATCAACTTTTCAAAATTCACATAGAAAGACTACACAGAACTCAGTGCTAAAGGTTGCACCTATAGAAAAAAAAAGGAGAATTAATCTCTGGAAAACCAGGGAATGTGAGAATCATAAAAATTTCTATCACCATCATATTACAAATTGAGGATAACCTGAGAAATTAACAAAATACTTCTTACTGCATGCCATGTAGATCCTGCAGTAAGCTCTGATTTTTCCAGCAGAACAACATTCTTCATGCCAGCTTTAGCCAAGTGATAGGCTAGACTCACGCCAACACAACCGCCACCGATGATCACTGTGTCTGCTCTATCCGTCCCCAAGGAGGGATTCTCTTTCCTGGGGGAAAAAAACAAGACAGTTGCACTTTAGCACACTTCATTTGATTGTTTGTTTACAGCTCCAGCTACAATATTATCTTGTTCTTTGCTTGGGAGTCTAAGTGACACCATCACTTTAAATAAATGATCTGGCGCTGCAGTATATGTAACACAATGAGAAATTTTTTAAAAAAATGTTTTGCAACATATTCCATTTTGCCAAATCCAAACATTACGGAAAACCTTTTTTCTCAGTGGCTCGCATGTGCTGCCCTCCTATGCTGCAGTTTCACAATCACTTTAAACCAGCGTAAACCAGTTCTGCTGTCACAGGTTCTGCTCCTCCTTGCCCGGTCTCCTCCTCTACCACACCAGGGTCATCTATGACTTTCCAGGGTCAGCCAAGTAATACGCTGCATTAGGAAATTCATGTAAATTAAAAATGTGTGAGACAAGGTGAAACCTCTCGTTGATGTAGCAATACAGACTACCATGAAAACAGACCGTTATCTCCCTTCAGGACAGTTATTTAACATTTGTTTAATTTTATCTCTTCTCCCCACCCCAGCATACAGCTTTTTGCTGTTTGCCTTTGCAGCCTCTCTGGTAAATGGGTACCTGATGTTTAACCAGCCTGCTGCCTACCCCCCGCTCACAGATCAGAACTATTAACTGTATATGAATGTAACTATTATCTGTTATGAATATAACTATTAACTGTTATGAATGAAGATCTCACACAACAGTAAGAAATTTTAGCTGTGAACGCAGGAGGAACCCACATCATCACATTCAGCGTGTGGGGATGAATGAAAAAGAACAGGAGCTCAGACTACTGCAGATTGTCCGTATGGGATCTGTAATACTTGCATGCGTTCCTCTTTGAGATTACATATTATTTTTCCCAGTTAATAGCAAACTGCTTAACAGATAGATGTGAAAACTTTGTCCAAACTCCTATACTGAGTTTTACCAGACAAACACAGATCAAGCACAAGGGTGGAAGGTCTTTTTATGCACCCTTCTTTACACTGTGAATTTGACACTGCCTCTCTGTGACTGTGGACAGCTCTCCAAACCTTTCAGGCAGACCCAGGCGCCCGCTGAGCATCCCGGGCTGTCTCTGCGGGCAACACCAGCGTCCCCGGGTGCCGAACAGTTCAGACCGGGTACAAGCCAGAGCCCGGCAGCAGGGAGCCCTGCTTGCCCGGCCCCGCATTGCTCCAGCCGGGCTCTGCTCTTCGCGGGCGCCATCTGAGGCACCCAGAGGCGCACGGGCCGCGGCACGGAGAGGCCCTCAGGGCCCGGCCCCTCAGCTGCACCCGCCGCGCCGCTGGTCACGACGGAAGGCGCTAAATTCCCCTCGACAGCCCGTTCCCCCTCCCCGTCCCGGAGCCGCGCTGGGGCGGTGCGGCCTCGCCGTTAACGGCCGCTAACGGCCGCCGCGCCTCGTGCCCGCGAGGCCCCGCACGCGCTGCGGCCGCCAGCGGCAGCGCCTCCTCCCCGTGCCCGTCCCGCACTC